TTCGCTTAACTAGTTCTATTGTTTTTGAAACTCTAGGGTGTCTAATTTCTAGTCCGTCGTAGTATTGTCGTATATACTCCGTAACTCGTTCCTTAGGTACTTAGTATTTCCTATATTCAATTAGGAACTATTCTTCTATGTCCTAAAGAACTCGTATAATATAGTTAAATTCTTTTGTATTAGCACTAAGGCTTCCGTCTTGGTTTGCCTTTAATATCTGCTACTATACTAGTTCGTAACCCTCTATATAGTCGCTACGGCGGCTTAGTACGTCGGCTCGTCCGTTCTCGCGTCCTAGGGTATAGCGGATTTCGAACTTATACTATCCTAGTAGCTCCGACTAGCGGGCCTATCTTCGGGTTAGTACTTTAGTCGTAGTAAAGTAAGTCAGATTCTTATAATTAGAAAGAATCGTAAGACTTAGTACTCCTTCCGCGTATACTCGCTAGTGTTATAGTAATGCAACTATTGCAAGTAGCTCCTTATTATAGATATCGTAGTTCTATTCCGCGGGTAATATCTTTTTCGAGTAATAGGCTACCGGGTATCGTTTCCCGTTATACTCCTATATAAGGTATACTCCTATAGCCCTATCCGACGCGTCTATTTCTATCTAGACCGCCTTATTCCTATCGAATAATCGTAGCGTTAGCGCAGAAACGCATTGCTTCTTTAGCTACCTAAACGCTTCGTCTTCCTTCGTGCTCTAGTTCTATTTCTTGTCTTTCCTTATAAGCTCCGTAAGGGGTGCCGCTGTCTTAGAGTAGCCCTCGATAAATTTTCTATTATAGTTAGCTAATCCTAGGAATAATTGTACGTCTTTAACGTATATAGGCGTTAGCTATTCCTATATTGACTTGGTTTTTTCTAGATCAATCCTAATTCCTATAGTGCTAATAATAAATCCTAGGAACTTAACTTCCTTCTTATAGAATTCGTATTTCTTAGGTGCAGTCTTAAATCCTACTTAAGTAAATCGTTTAAAGACGTCCTATACTATTCGTATATAGTCCGTAAGAGCTCCCTTAGTATAGACTAAGATATCGTCTATATATACGATAACGTATATATCTAGAAGGTCTCGGAGGACTTCGTTTACAAGGTCTTAATATAACGCTAGGGCATTTGTAAGTCCTATAGGTATAACTAAGAATTCGTAAAGCCTATATCTTGTTCGGAATGCTGTTATCTATTCGTATCTAGCTGCTATACGTATTGCGTAAAACGTATCGTATAGGTCAATCTTCGTATACTAGTCTAATCTAGTTAATCGGTCTTGCATTTCTTCGATGTTCGGTAGTAGATACCGATTCTTAATTGTAATATCGTTAAGTCGTCTAAAGTCGACTACTAGCCGTCCTTCGTCTAATCCGGCTTTCGGAACGAACATTACTAGTAAGGCTGCCGAGGATATCGACTTCCGTATCTAGCCTTTTTCTAATTTCTCTTTTAGCTACTTGTCTAGGGTTTTAAGCTCTTTCTTAGATATTGCGTATAAGGGTCCCTATAGAGGCTTTTTCCTAGGCTATAAGTGTATCTTATAATCCTATAGTTAGTGTTTAGGTAAGGCTGCCTTGCCTTTCTCCTCTTTAAAGAGTCGCTTCTACTTAGTATACTCTTTAGGAATATCTAGGTCCGAGATTCTAGTTTTATTCTTCGATAGCGTATAACTTCTATCCTTCCCGTAATTATTATTATAACCCTCCTAACCTAACGGTAGTGTCGATCCGGGTTGAATACGGTTCTCCGTAATTCCTATCGACGTAAACGTCTTACGAGTCGCTCTGCGTTTGTTAATCTTATCTACCTACGAACGCTACCGCTATATAGGTTAAATGCCGATTATATAGTCGCATTCCTTAAATGTAAGTACTCCTTTTCTCTAGTCTACGACTAGGTTATACTTTCTTAACTAAGGTATACCTAATACAATATTATAACTAGCTATATTAGTAATATCTAAGACAATCTCCTCGTAGTGCTATTAGATAGCTAGTAGTAACGGTATCGTTTCTCGTTCTATACTAGGTAGCGGTAACCTATCTACTACTATAAGTTTATACGCTCCTTCTCTTCTACTTCGGGTTGCGATCCCTCGGCTTTTAACGAATAATTCGGAGGCAAAGTTCCCGCTCGCTCCGGAATCTATTAATATACTCGTCGGGTGCCCGTTAACGATAACTTTTATACGGAAGACTACTATTAATACTTAAGCGCTTTCGGTATTAAGGAACTCTCTTAGAACGCTCTAATCTAGAGAGTTAGTCCGTTTCCCGACTAATTAGTAGCCTAACGTTATTCTAACTAGTTACGGATCCGTAGTCCTACCGTTCGTGCTTCTTCGGTATATAATTTTTCCTCGAGGGTATCGTTATATATATCCCGTCCCTACGCTACTATAGCCTTTCGGTATTGCTAATTTAATCGCTAGACCGTCTAACGCATCTCTTAAGTAATAATCGTCCTTTCGTCGGGTAGGACGTATCCGTAGGGCGTAATTATACTTCCTATTAGTACTCGCTCTGTAATAAAGTTATAGTACGTATAGTTTATAGGTATCCGGGGGTAATTCTAGAATTTTGCCCGTAAGCTTATCTAGAAATAATTAAATTGGATAGGATCTACCTTCCGTTGTCCGTTAACCTTTAGAAACATTTCCTCGTATTTGCGTACTAGATATAAGGCGATTGTTCGCGCTACTATAGGCGTATCTATTATAAACGTAAGGATCGTATCGTCGTTAATCCCGAATTCGTCTTTACTTTCTTTATTCGTAGTCTCTTCCTCGGTATCTAGACTTCCTTCTAAATCTTCTTACTATTCCTCCTCTTACTAAGGGGACTCCGGTACTTCTAGGATAGCTCCTAACTCCTCCCTAGGAGGGAATAAAGCTTCCGGATCTCGGTTTTCTTTATCGTCGGCATCTAAGCAAGATTTATTAATCGTTTCTTCTTCCGACTAGGATTTCGTATCTTCTCGTATAAGTCGCCTAATCTAAGGGAAGAATCCTACTTCTACTTTAGTAGAATAATAAATTTAGCATTAGTCGTCGTAATAGAATCTCTAGTAAAGGGTTCTATATACAGGTTCTTATCGTCGTACTATTATATAGATTTGTCGTAGCTCTTTCTTTACGACCTCTACGTAGGTCCTCGGCGCGTTATTAATAGAGTATAGCTCTACTATTATTCGGTAGCCTTCTCTACCCGAGTCCTTTCGTTGCATTATATTAAACTGTTCGCGTCGTACTATATTCTTACCGCGGCAGTTCCGTGCTATATAGCCTTCCTTGCTATACGTATAGTAAGTTAATCTTCCTACTTTCTTAGGCAAACTCTTGCCTTTTCTTCCTTTAATTGCTCGACCCTTCTAGGTAGTATCTAGCTCTATTAGTTGCGTACCGTAGTAGTTGTTCCCCTTTAGTTTATCGTAGGTACTATAGTTTCGTCTATTATCGTATCTAGGAGTATAACTAGCTTTTCTAGAAGTCTTGGAATCGTAACGTCGTTCTAAAGCTCGTTCGTAGAGCCTATCGTCGAGATCGATCGTAACCTTAACTAATGTTCCTATATTATCTATTTTTCTACCGTCGCGTATAAGCTCGTCTTTAACGTTATCCTTAAGACCTCGCCGGTATATTATTATAAAAGCTTCGTCGTCCTAATCCGTAAGTTAGGCGTATTCCTAAAATTTAGCGGCGTAATCGGCATATAACCCCTTCTAAGTTAAGTATTAGATAACCCTAACTGCGGTAGCAACCTCGTTAGAAGATCTAAAGACCTTCTTTATCGTACGCTTAAGATTTTCGTAGCTTACGAAGATTCTATCCGAATTATCGGTCCCGTTACTATCTAGATAAGTCCTAAGAAATAGTTTAACCTAATACTAAGCCCTACCTCGTATAAACGTCGTTGCGAAGACTAGCTTTAAGTTATCTTAAACCTAGTTAAATATAAAATATATATCTATCTAGCTAACCTAGGTATCGAACTTATCTCGGTCGCTATAATAAAAGTCTAGCTTTCCGATCTTAAGAGAATCGTTTCCGGTATAGGTTCCTAGTGTATTGCTAACACTAGAGGTAGTACTTCGAGTACTACCTGTCTCGCTAGGGGCGGGAGTTCCCCTTCCGACTTATAATAAGGCACTTATCCTAAGGGCGTTTAAAGTGTTACGGTTACTCGCGACAGATCGTTAGGTAACTTCTTATTACGTGCAAGCCGAGGCTTCTTTAGAGAGGCTAATATAAGCGGGAGGTAGAGACAGAATAATTAGTATAAAGGTAATTCTAATTAGTAAGTAGGTAATATAAGTTAAACGCCTCGAGCTATAAGGGCATTCTAGCGTTCCTAAATATAAAGGAGATATCTTGTCTATAGTCGTAAGCGACGTAAGCGACGCTATCGCTCTCGACCGCTCCTATCGCTCCTAGTAAGATAGAGCGATAGCTTAGCCTACTAGTCTTAGCGTCGCTCTAAGATTATATAAGGACTCTAACTAATTAGATCCGTAACACTCTATTGCTAGCGTTAGTAGTAGAGGGTTGTCGAGAAGCTATTTCTTCGAAGAAGCTAAAGTCGAATTAGTATAGTTAGAAGATCTAGCTTGCTAGATTTTAGCGTCTATTATAGTATAACAATATATCTATATACTATAATTTCTAGATTAGAATACGTAACGAGACAAACACAATCGATTCCGCGTATACTAGTGCGATAATTACGGTATTGTAGTATAGTATATAGATTATAGTTACTAAGCTAGGATGTAGCTTCTATAGCTTAGTAATAAGCGCTTACAAACCGGATTGACTAGCAATACGGACTTCTATACGGACCTATAACAGCTAAACAACTCCTAGGACCTAATCAAAAGCGCTATATTTGATCAAAGTATGAACCTTAACCAAGGACGCCTTGTTTGACCAAATTATGCTAATGAAAGTGGCCAGTTTGATCAAATAGGGCCATATTTGGCGTAATACCAACGGACGGTGACAGCCCGCGCCGAACATGACTGCCAAAAAGATCGACTTTTCCCAAACAACGTTACCAGAGTACCACGGTCTCTACGCCGTCATTCTCGACGATGTGCTCAGCGCAGAGGAATGCGATCAGTTCATCAAGGCTGCTGAGGCTACGACCAAAGGCGAGTGGGAGCGTGCCATGATCAATGTCGGTGGCGGTCGTCAGCGTCTGATGACTGACTCGCGCAATTGCGGCCGGATCATCTGGGACTCGAAAGAAGTTGTCGCCAAGATCTGGAAGCGAATCGAGCATGTACCAGAAGTGCAGGAAATTGTGCGCTTGCAAAATGTGCCCGAAGTCTTCGGCAATGGTCCCGCGAAACGAGACGAGGTGTGGACATTTACCCGGCCGAACGAACGCATGCGATTCCTCAAGTATGTTGGCGGAGAGTACTTTCGTCCCCACTGCGATGGAAGTTATGAGACGCCCGGTAAAAAGGAGCGCTCCTATTTCACCCTTCACCTGTACCTCAACAACGCCGGCGTTCCCACTCCGGACGAGCGTGCGGAGATGGACCCGAAGGATAGGCTTGCAGCAGAGAAGGTGGCGTTGACGGGCGGTGCAACTACGTTCCACTCGCTCAGCTGGAACAATGATCGAGACTTCGATGTCCTTCCAAAGACTGGTCGGATCTTGCTCTTTCAACATAGGAATCTGTTGCACAGCGGAGCCGATGTCGTGCAAGGGGTGAAGTACACCATGAGGACTGACCTGTTGTACGCTCGGGAGAGCTCAGCCAGTGGAACGCAGAGCAAGATGCCGGCTCTGGACGATTGAAGGAACGTTTGTTTTGAACGCGGAGTCTTGTTGCGAGACTGCATGCTCCGTGTCACAAGTGCAGCCAGTGTGCTTGCCGTGAGGAGAGCGCGTTCTTCGTCTCCAGAAGAGTCATATTCCAGCATGCCAATATTACAGAAGACGCGTTGGACGTTAGCCAATATACCATGCTCTTTCTGGGTGCATCTTGGCGATCCGTAAAGGACCATGAAGTGGAGGGAGACGGGGATCGGTGCTCGTTCGAGAGCAGTCTCCAGGAGTGCGTCCAAGGCTAGAACTAGATATCAACGTAAGCATTTTTTGATTTCAACATTGAACATCACAGGCTTCACAAGAGCTTACAATGCCGATGGGTCTCTGCGAAAAGAGTAGTTCTATCTATACACATGAAGCGCAATGCATTGGCACAATCACACTGTACATCGATCGCGACAAGAGAAACCTGGCCACTTATGAAAGCGCTCCAAGCATAGGCGAGCCATTGACTGGCACAGCCCTCCTCAGCCTGGCCTTGACACCATTCTTCGGCGCTACAACCACGCGATAGCCCTTGGTCAGATTGTTCTGACCCTCCGGAGCCTTCATGTCACAGAAATGCTGCATCATCCTCGCCATCAGGTACGAGATCTCAGTCATAGTCAATTGCTGACCAACACAGATCCTTGGACCCATCCCAAACGGTGCATAGTCTGCAGAAATCTTCCTTCCGATCCAACGATCCGGCTGGAACTCCCACGCATCCTCTCCCCACTCTTCTTCGCGCCGGTGCATGAGGTAGACGTTTGCTGTTACTGCGGCGCCTTTGGGTACGGCCATGGGTTGCATCCCGTCTTCACCACCGCCGCGTGGCAAGACCGTGTCCCGTTTCGCATTGCGGCCAATATTGGCGAGCAGAGGATACATTCGCAGGGTCTCGAGGATGACATGCTGCATGGTCGTGCAAGAGCGAAGATTGTCCCAAGTCAGGGGAGCAAGTGGAGCTTCTTCCGGGCCGAACTTTTCGAGAACCTCTGCTCGGACTCGTTGAAAGATATCCGGGTGTGCCTCCAGCTGCGCGAAGACCCAAGCCGCCATGGTCCCGGTCATGTTCTGACCAGCAATGAACAAGTCCATCACAAGGTTTCGAATTTGGATCGGATCGCCAATGTCCTTGACGAGGCTATCGACTAGACCAAACTCAGCCACGTCGACTCCCTCTGGCACGCCTTTGCGTCTATCTATCGCGCGCGCAATCAGATCGTCCGCGAACTTGTTGAGAGTCGCGCACGCCTTGCGGTACCTCAGACCATCCGCCATCCAGTACTTCGAGCCGAGCTTCGAGCGCCGAGAGAAGTGGTTGCGTACGGTTTCATATGCTACTCCGTAGCTCATCTTTGCTTTGCTTCGCTTGGACGGCACAAGGTCGAACTCTTCCATCGCGGCTTTGAGCCTAGTCTCGCGCATGCCGTTCAGCTGCGAGTCGGCGGAAGTGCCCAGTAGGAAAGTGGTGGACATGTCGAGTGATAATCGATGAAAGAGGTCAAGAAGGTCGACGACGCCAGTCCAGCCATCCTGCTCTGTAGGACCTATGGCAGTGAACAGCAGCTGGATGTCGCCCTCGGAATGACGAACATCTTTGGCTCTCTTCGTTCCGATATGCCTCATGACCATCTTCCTATTCTTGTGCCATGCCTCGCCTTCAGAGTTCAGCAAGCCCTCTTGCGCCAGTGGATACATGGTCCTGGCACGACTTTTGGATGGCGCCCAATCTGTATGGGATTTATTGAGGATGGCGTTGAGATTGACCGGATCGATCGTGTGGATCACCTTTGGTACACCGAAAGGGTCGTGGAGAGCATGGGTGGCGCCATATGTGTTGAACTTCCTGGAGAAGACATTGTCAAGGAGGTCATCGCCAACGTAAAGTAAGAGGCTGAGCTTGTGTCGAAGAGAGCTTAGAAATGGCGTCGGTAAACCCGTGGTCGCAACGCAGCCATTTCTCTCCGCAAAGGTGAAGAATCTCTTGCTGCTGATATATGCCGTGGAGAGCCTGGCGAGCTTCCGCAACAGCCAAATAGTTACCAGAGAAGCCGCGAGATAGTGGAATCTGGTGTCAGGGGGCTGCAGCTGCGCAGCTATCACGTATATGGCGGCCGCCATGGGTAATAGGTATGTTCGAATGATCCTGATCCATGACATTGGGCGCTCGCTTGGAGACCGATTTGTTGCATCGGTATGGCTCAGACCAGGTGGATATTGTGTGTTGCTCTGTAAGTGTCTCGTTTGCTCAGGCGTATTTCGAGTATCAGAGCCATTGCTGACTTCGGAGAGAAAGTTGCTGACAGATGTCCAAGGCCTTGAACAGAAGTCGACAAGCATATTCAAGAAAGCTTGCACTCGCATGTGATGTAACGACTGAGCTTTTAGATCACTGGCAACGTCCTTCAACGTCCACTACGGCTTTCCCTCAAACGAACTGAAAAGGAGCAGTCGACAATCAACTTCCCTTCCCTCCGCGTCCTCCATCTCGCTATTTGAATGCCAGAGCAGTCCACCAACAATCCCTCACCACCCATCCTGACAATTCAAGTTCCAAATCCTGCTGCTGACTGTTGATACTCTGACGTCGCTCGCTTAAAAACCCACCTTTGTTCCACCGTCGTCTACCTCACCAAATCAGGAATCTGGTGGCTTTGTGCATACTATATCAAATCGGTCGACTTCCCAATGCAGAAATTTCGCGGTCGCTCTCACCGCTCGAAGAGATCGCATGACTGGGGCTGTGCGCAGACGCATATGGAGGGCTGTCCGCTGAAGGAGATGGTTCGCATCTGATCAAAGATTGCCGTCACGGCTGTGTGAGAATCCGAATGGTGGTTTGCCCGATGCAGGAGTTGTGGTATTCTTGGCATGGGTGAGCATGACTGATTTACAGGCTTAGAGTTGGATGCTTTGGGACTTCAATGTCTCTTTGGGATAAGGTGAGTAGTGAAGTCATGTGGTTGGAGCGGGCCTTCGAGAATTGGTGCAGAGACATGCAGTGGCGAGGACCAAAGAGCGAGCTTGCCGACGAATTTGAAGCTTTCAATCTCCTTCATTGACGTGGCTCCGCAGCACAACGCCTAGAGATCAGTGCAAATTGATTTTCCAACTGGACTAAAGCATGTAGAATCTGGTAAAAGTACGAGGATCCATCGTAAGGGGCAGATGTTCGCGGCGCTGAAGCGTTGTCAATCGAAAAGAAAAAAATGAACCGATTCCACAGACACAGCAAGGTATTCTCTACCTATGAACCAAAAAATATAGCGTCAGATCATCACTGAAAATCTTGACGTACAAACATACCTAGTGTGTATTCACGATGGCAATGTAGCGCAAATTCCTCCTTCCTCCTTCCACCGTAACAGCCGAAAAAAAAAAGAAACTCCCCACCATTGTGCAAAACGATATTCAACCGCATAACTTATCTCTCTCGTCGCCTCCGTCCTCGCCACGATGGTTGGTTATATTGGTGAATATTTCTCATCAATCATATTTCAGCCGGCTACGCTCATTGTTCCACATGTCAGGGCGTATCGGAGCTCGTGATTCATACTGGGGTTTGATTTTTGGGGAATCAGGCAAGGTAGGGTAGGGTAGGGAGCTCGCTCTTTGTAGCTTCTTCATCATGTCACCTACTCCTGCTACGTACGTGTCCCTTCCTCGAATTCCCATTTGTACTAGTCTTAGGTCAAGAGGGCTCGGGTTCTTGACCACTCTAAGTGGGCGAAGAGGCATGCACGACGGTTGACTCTCGAGTGCTGGAGGACTGGAGGTGATGATACTGCTGCTGCATACCCGATGAAGGGATGCCGAGCGAGCCGCAAGCCGCAGCGGTGTTACTGTTACCATAGATACTACTATGGAATGTATGTAAATGAAGTTCAGCTTGGGTCCTCGCGCGCGCATTCCTCTTTGCATGACGCAGGGGATCAACAATGCGCTTCCCATTTGTCGCAAACATCAATTCTCTTTGTTGACTTTTCATCATACGCTTCTCCCTCACGCAGATTCGCAGTCCTCAAGATTATCTGTCAGCGCTCTCAATCGAACAGTAGACATCAGCAGTGTGTCGCAATCATGGCGCCATCGAAGAGCGGATCGGTAGCTCGAAGAGGTGCCACCACCAGCGCCAGCAAACGCGCTCGCTCGCATCGGCACGAAGACGATTATTATGCATCTACGAGCAGGCCAGCAAGGTCAAAGCCAGTGAGCAAATCCATAACCTGGCGAGATGGACAGATTGATAGTGACCATGATCAGACACCTTCCAAGCTGCATCAACCACGTTCGGGGACTGGCGAGGCAAGCCACCGGCACAGGAGTCCAGAGAGGAGCAATATCAGTGGGCCTGAAAAGCAGTTGCAGGCGGAGGAATGCGATGACGATGTACCATATGATTCCGATGAGACTCCTCCAGGCGGCGGGCTGATTCGGACACGCGGATCTCAGGCTAGTGTGGAAGATGAGACGCCTAGTGCAGGGCGCAGTCCGACCAAAAGTACGCCAAAAGCTCCATCTTCCACACGGCCCCCTCAGAAATTCAAGACGTCTGGCCACGCAAATGACACGGGAGAGGATAGGGAGCGCTGCATAGAGATGCAAGAGATCGTGAAAGCGATCGATGCACTCGTGCAGAATATGCCAGCAGCTGAGCCGACATTCTTTGAAGATCTGCTCGGCAAGCCAGAGAATGCACAAGTAGTGCGGTATATCGGTTGCCTGGCCATTGGAGGTCCCAAGGGTGAAGACGGGTGGGCAGAACTCCTCGCAGACCAAGGGTGTCGGAAAGCGCTGGTTGTTGGAATCATCGGTCGAGCGTTGAAGGAGCATGTTTTTGGAAGCCTGTGGTTTGGTGCGACAGCCGAGCAGCTCACGCGACTTGAGGACATGGAGCGCAGTCGGGTGATGATGGATAAGGATGGTACGCGGGCTTTTCGTGGTGCTGTGCAGGAAAGTTGTGGACTGACGATTTTCGGCAGGATTCTCGCGGACGAAAATGAGGGCAGAAGTGGTGAAGGGGTTCGCAGCTTCGGAGGATGATGTCGAGTTCGCCATCAACAAGATCAACCTTCAGCTGTCAAGCATGCTCGCACCATTCTGGCAGCAAGCGACTCGAGTGCCTCCCAGCGTGCATTGGAAGTTGAAGCAGATTGTGAGGAAAGCTGCGGAGGCCAGCCGTGCGATGCGGCAACAGGAAGACGTGGTGTACTACTGGCCGCCGACGTTCAAGGACGAGGAGTTTGAGCCGGCGCGCATGGAGTGCTACAACCTGAACGAGATGATTTCGCACAGCCCGTACGACAAGACGAAGGTGCAGGGCAAATTCGAGCGGGCGATGCTGCGCGAGGGCGAAGAGCAGCGGAGCGAGGCCATCGTGCGGGTTGTGTGCTTCCCGGGGCTGGTGGCATACCGGCAGCACGGGGGCGACATGGCGGTGGAGGAGATGCAGGCGGACGAGCGCGAGAACTCGCATGCGCCAGAAGACGTGCGCCGGGCGCGAATGCGCTTCGGGGAGAAGCTGGACGTCAACCACGGCTTCCGCTCGCGCGTCCTGTGCAAGAGCGTGGTACAGCTGCAATGGGGCCAGCAGAGGCTGTTGACGCGGGAAGCCGGCACTTCGGCTCACATCGATGCCGTGAAGGCGGGCAACATGCGGCGGTATGAGGACGACTCCAAGGCCTTCCGCGAGCTGCACCACCTGTTCGATGCGAGGCACGGCCGGACGACGACGACGCACCGGGCGGGCCGGAGCTCCACGTGACGATGCGATGCGATGCGATGCGATGCGATGCGGCTGGACGAGTGAGGCGGTGTTTTGTGACGCGCCCTTCTTATTGGTTACATTGTAACACTGTTCAAGGGTGTCTATTGTAGTGGTTCTGATTGACTAGTTCTATCTAAAAAGGCGGTAAGAATAGGTATTGATATTTCCCTAGTTTTGCCGAGAGTCACGTACGCTGCTAAGAGTTATGTAACCTCAGCTATACGTTATACACCCCCTTAGCTTATATAAACTAGGCTTGCCTTCCATTTTAGGCAAGGTAGTTAATGCTTCTTTATATACAAACAAAAGAAAAATTAATCTTTTTAACTTCTTATATAGTACTTTATTAAAACAATAAAAAATTAGTTTAAATCTATACTATATATAAGAGAGTCTTATTTTATACCCCGATTACCCTAGAAGGATATCGTTACATAATCCGGACTATATATACACCTTTATATATAGTCCCTATTACTAGGAACTATTGTCTTCCTACGTAGTCTAAGTATAGACCGACACTATTAAGCCTTATCTAAGTACTCGTATCGTATAGTAAAGTTAGTTTAACTAAATTGAACTAAGCCCTTTATATTATTACTATCGTTTATTAGATTAATCGCATAGGTAGCGTCTATTTGATTAGACGAAGGATTAAGTAAGGATATGCATTAGTTAAACAGATTTAATAAATTAGGATAGGTAACTTAACTAAGGACGCTACCCTTAGCTAAGACTACTGCACTATTATTACTAGCACTAATACAATCGCCGCAGACTTGTTATTAGTTAGTAGAAGTAACGTTCGAAGTAATAATATAGGCGACAATAACGTATTAGGAAGTAAGGTTAGATCCGCTACCCTAGTTAGTCGTCGCTATCGTATTAGACACTTTTGCTAGCGCCAATCGATAAAGGTATACTTAATTGACTTAGTTACAATTAATAGTAAATAGGGGGGGGCTACTACTACCTATTATATAGAGTTGTCTTCGTATAGTTTATTAGCTAGCGGCCTTAATAGCCTAAGTTGCTATATAAACCTCTATTAGTTCTATAGTCTATAGAGTTTAGTAAGTCTATTAGCTAGTATGTCCTATATAGCTAGGTATTCGCACTGTATTCGGCCTGCTTTATATTCTTAGCGGAGCTAATACTAGTAGATATCTATATACCTAAGCTTAGTGTCTAGTTTACTAGCATTAGCCTTAATAATGCGAATAGTCTAGGTATTGTCGCAATACAGCATAGGCACCGTGTCTAATGTGAGACTAATGTTGTTAAAGAATCGCTTCTACTAGATTAGCTCTAAGCTAGTATATAATGCGGCTAGCAGCTTAGCCTTAGTCGTAGATTTAGTAACAGTTGATTGTCTTACTACTTTCTAGTCGACTAGGCTATTAAACAGGCTAAATAACCATCCTTCTAATAACTGCCTAGTGCCTTTATAATCGCTATATAAGGCATCGGAAGCTCCGTAGAACTCATTTAACTAATAGCTAGAATGCGCTATAATTGCTAGTCCGTCGGCATTGTATTCTAAGCATAGGTCCTTCGTTTGTAGGAGGTATTTAATACACTAATTTGCAGTAGCTATATCTTCTTGTCGTAGATTTTGAAGGGCTTTAGACAGCAGTAATATAGCCTTAGCTATGTTAGGCCTAGTCTGTACTGCTACGAAGTTGAGCGATCCTATACGGCTTTAATAGGCTAGTACTACTGCTAAATCTAGGTATTGTAAGGCCTTCTTATCGTCGGCTTTCTCGTAGGGCTCGTATCTAGTTAGCAATAGTAAGTCGGCCCTTCTGCCCCTAGTATTAATGCTATATCGCTAAGCTACCTTTTTAGCGTACGTCTTCTGTAACAACTAGAGCTGCTTAGTAGTGCGGTCTCGTATAACTTCAATCCCTAGAAACTATAATAGTAGACTAAGGTTATTTAGCTCGTACTCCTTTATCAGCCGTTGCTTCAGATCTATAGCTTTCTGCTTGTATTGGCGATAATATAAAAGCACTATGTCGTCTACGTAGAAGAAGATAAATACGTGCTTGTCGGGGTCTATATATAGGCAGTCGACATTATCGACTAGCTACATGCCGAGCTTCTCTAGTATAGTAGTAAAGTGATTGTACTATAGCCTTAGTGATTCTTGTAGACTATACAGTGCCTAGAGCAGCTACAGTACCTTTCCTTTCTGTTCAAAACCTTCTAGTAGCTTCAAATACAGTATATATAGCAGGCTAGCATTTAAGAAGGCGTTAACCGCGTCCATTTGCTCTGCCTCTAGGTTAAAGCTAGCAGTAATAGCTATTAGTGCACGGAATACTCGTATAGCTAGTGTTAAGGCATAGGTATCTAAATAGGTATTCTTCTATAGGTCCCCTCTTGCATATACTCTAGCCTTAAACTTAATAAGCCTTCCTTCGGTATCGCTCTTGTATTTGAATACCTAGGTAAGTAGCAGTAAGTTGTCTACTGCTTGCTCTATGTCTACCTATTTAAATGTACCTATCTTTAAGGCCTTATTGAATTCCACTCTTATAGCATATATCTAATACTCTTTAAACCGGCTCTTTAACACTTGGCGCTAATTGCGTAGCTCGGCTAGTAGGTTAGCGACCTTCGGAGTGAGGTTTGGGTTATTCTCGTCTCGTAGAAGCGGCGGTAGCGGATCCGGATTGTCGTCTGCTTGACTATTTAATACGCTTAATACGTATATTAATCGAGCTTCGTATTCTGCTACTATATAAAGGCTGCTAAATAGTAGGAGGTTTCTCGCTTGTTCTCGATCGCTGATATAGTAGCGGCCGGCTCGATAGATAGCGGCTGTTCGCTATCGCTTATTCGGATTGTTAGCTCGATAATGCGGCCCTCCTATGTTTAGTAAGTAACGATAAGAAACATTAGCTGCTTCAATTAGCATTAGCAATTCAGCTAGCTCTGCTCGTAGCAAGTTTATATCTATATCATCTGCGTAACCTAGTGCGTCTACATTGTTAGCAGGGTTATAATTGCTAGTATCGTTCTTAGTCTTAGGTTGCTAATTAATAGTTAGGTCTACCAATCTATTTAGTACATTATTACGCGGTTGCGGTGCTTCGCGTAGGTCAATTGGAAAGTCCTAATAGATAGGTACTTCCCCTAATTCAGGCTTATATAATCTCTAATTAGTGAGATCCAAACGTAGCCTCTTCGGCACCTATACGAGCTATAGCTTAGTTAGTAGTATCGGCGATGATTGTTAAGGTAGTTCTTGTCTAATAGGTTTATCTGCTAGCCTCGCAGGGTCGACTATTATAAGCCGGCTAGGTCCTATTAGTGTTTCTACCCCCTTAGCTCTAAACCGTACTAGGTCTAGTAGTGTGTCGTATGCTTCTCGAAGATCGTCAAATTGATGCTCCGAGGCTAGTGCTTATAGCTCTTCGAGATTACTGAATTGAGCTAGTTCTTAGTTAGTTATAGTAACGCCTAGGTTAGCGTTATATCTATTATAGAACCTGGTCTTATTAAATATAACATCTCTTGTACGTAGCACCGTTATTCGTAAAGGCACCCAAATCCGATAGATAGAGTGTCCTTCGTATCTACAGAGGTATCTAATATATATTCGTAAGGCTACTTTCATAGTATTTAGCAGTATAGCCTTCCTCTTACCGTTAGCTATCTCGGTGCCGTAGATTACTAGGTATACTCTTGCTCCAAACTGATAGATGTGTGCTACATTTGGCTTATGTCTAGTCCCAATCTCGTATAGTGTACGTATTAGTAGGTTAGTATTGCGTAATCTTGGTAACCTATTAGCTAGGAAGGTTGCTATATAAACTGCTTCTAGCTATAGGCTGTGTAGGAACCTAGTATGTATTATTAAGGCTCGAGCTACCTTAATAATAGTACGGCCTGCTCGCTTAGCTAGGTCCTGCTCTAACGTGTATAGTGCTGTTAGCCTCTAAGTAGTATAGTTATTGCGTAGATAGGATCGAAACCGAAAGCCTAATATACCTCCTTTATTATTAGATAACAAACAGATAATATCTCTGCTAATGCTACGTACGAAGGTAGCTAACTAGTTCTAGCACTAAAGGAGTATTAACTCCTAACGATTACTTATTATCTATGTAAAGTATAGTCTAGTATTTAGGTCGTATGCGTAGAAGATGTACTAGTCGCTATTATAGGCTGGATCTAGTTGCATTAGATTAGCAGCAATGTAGCTATATAGTGTAAGAATGGACACATTATGCTTTCGTAGCCTTCTAGATATAAGCTTCTTGCCTTTAGCTTATGCATATACTAGACAAAGTGGTGTTCTTAGTACCTTATTTCTATATGAGAGGTCCCGCATTATACTATTAACCCTATCAACTAGCTCTTCTGCTCGTTCTGTACCTAGGTGCCTAAAGATCTTATGTATTTGCTAGAGAGTGAGCTGCCTCGGTAGCAGTAGGCATGCGGAGCGGCGAGCCGTTACGTATACTAATAGTTTGCTAAGTTAAAATAGGTATTTGAGTGGTCGGCCTTCTATATTAGCTAGCTACTTAGTTAGTAAAGGTATATTATCCACTATACTAACTATGTTAAAGTATGGCATCTAATTATCTAGTCTAATAAACTTAACTAGAGGCTTCTATTAAGGGTCGTATAGGGTGTTATTAATTTCCTAATGTTTGTATCCTCGCTAGAAGAATAGGGCTCTACCGACTATATTAGTATAGAAGTTTAGAATGTATAGGCATTCTCCTAGTTCAATCTGTAGGGGCCTGCCACTAACAGCCTTGACTGTGAATAATGCCTTTCTAATAGCTACGACCCTATTATAGCCTATTCCGGTTGCTACTATAGACCTTAATAGCAGGAAGAGAGGAGCAAAGTTGAATCGACCTAGATAGTTGATAATGTAGCAGTTTGAGCTACTATTATATATTAGTCCATTAAAAGGGTTCCATTTTCTAATAGATATCCCTATGCTAACTTGCCTATATCTAATTGTTCCTATAAAGGATAATAATAGAGTGTTAGGGCTAAAGAAGCAGGCTAGTAATAACTTGTTAGGTATATCATTATTAGCCTTGCTATATCTATAATGCTGCTAAGCAATCTTGATAGCTAGTAGGTCCTTGTAGAAGCTGGCTTGTCTTAAGCAGAAGTCCTTGTTTCGTCGTAAGTAGCCTTCAAAGTAATTCAGCTTGCCTTGCTATTTAGTATCCTTATCCTTCTCTTCAACCTTATCTTATAGGCGATAGTTAACTACTAAGCACTTGCTACGGTTCTTATATGCCTTCTTCTTACCAATGCTAGTGAGTTCTATACAGGATTTCGGAGTACGGGCGCCCTTCTTGTCCTTCTTGTCCTTATTGTCCTTGTTTTCGGAGGCTCCTTAAAGGGCGGCATTAGATTTACTAGTCTCCGCGTCGTAGGTAATGCTAAATAAGGCTCCCCGCTTTGTTAATAGACCTGATATGTTTCGGGCATAATCTCGTACTATACTAATTAGCTAATAGAAGTGGGTAGTGTTTAGTAAGGCCTAGTGCATTATATAGAGTCCTTTGCTATAGGTTTCATCTATATTAGCTACTATAGTATAGAGGTAAACAACTATATTATTAAGTTCTATATACTATATCCTCTTTATAATTTTGTATAGATTAAGCTATTCCTTATACTACTGCTTAGGATCCTTTACCTGCCTTAAGTTGATCAAACGATTTAGCTCTTTAACTAAGTTAGTTCTTTGCTACTAAGTATTTAGCGCTAGCTTATCCTTTAGTCGTATTATAATCAATCGAAGGGTTAGTAGGGACAGCTTATTGTTATTAGTGATCTCTAAGTAATAGCGGATATCTATTGTGGTTGCTAGGTACTCGAGGGTCTTGCTACGGGCTGTTCTAAACCTATTAAACTTAGCTATATAGACATTATAGAAATCCTTTTCTAAACGGATTGCCTATTAGTAGACTTAGTCGTCCTATAGGCGTTCTTTATCTACAACTAGTAGAGCAGGCTGAATTGGCTCTATAGGCAGCGTAGTATACGGATTAGTATATAGCTAGGTCTCGTAACCTATTAGATAAGTCTTAGTTTGCTCGTACTATCGATCCTAGTCGTTCGGGCCTCGAAGGGTAATGTATTTAGTACTACTAAGACGGCTAGCTAATAAGAGGGCCATTATTGAAGACATGTTAATAATCTTAAAGAGATAGTAGGTGCTTTAGTTAGTTGTTTAGTATCGTAGAAACTAATTTCCTTTTACTAATATTATTGCTCGTAGAATAGAAAATTCTTCCTCCTTTCTTAGTCTCTAATACCGCGGGTAAAACCCGGGCTTATAACTGTAACGCGCCCTTCTTATTAGTTATATTGTAATACTGTTTAAGGGTGTCTATTATAGTAGTTCTAATTGACTAGTTCTATCTAAAAAGGCGGTAAGAATAGGTGTTGATATTTCCCTAGTTTTGCCGAGAGTCACGTGCGCTGCCAAGAGTCATGTGACCTCAGCTATGCGTCACATGTTTCATGCGATCGATAGCCTCAACCTCTGATATTCTAATCATAATGTGTGTTCCATGCCAAGTCCGCCGGGTCATCAAACTGTGTTGATTCGTATTCCCAGACGCGTACCTGATTATAGGAAGGTTCGCCGCGGGAGCGCCCGCATGCGCGCTTGCTCTTGCCGGAGCCCAGCGCCATGACCCGCTGGACCAGACCTCACTTTGCATTTGCTGAGCTGTTCTTGCTCTCTTGCCTTGCACTCCTCGGCCCTCACGTCTACGCCACGGAAGAAGATCGGTCGGCCTGCCTTCTGGGAGCGAGCCTTTCCCGCATTGTCTCCTGTCCTTTCATCCTCCGTGCCAGCGCCAGTCTTGCACCGAGCCTCGTCAGCGCGCGGCGCCGCGAGACGTGCGCCAGTCTGGCCAGCCCATCCGTGTCAGTGGTGCCCTCTGCGTGGCGCGCCTGTACCACTCGCTCCACTCCTCGCACGCCCGCATCCTGGAACATGACACTAGCGCCCATACAAAATCACCTGCACTCCCCACCCCTCTGCTCCAACTTCTTTCCATCCCACCACCATGGCCCTACCACGACTGCTGCCCGCTCTGGCCCCAGCTCCGCCAAAGCCCCCGCCATTCCACACCCCAAGAGTCACCTTCTTCGACTTGCCCGCTGAACTGCGCATCGAAGTCTACAAATTGGCTCTGGACGGAGTCGTCATCCACATTTTGCCCCCGAATACCGTCGAGGAGCGGAAAATACCACATGCCCTCACTCGCACCTCGCGCCAGGTCCGCAACGAGGTGCTACCCTTAATCCACTCGCTATGTCCCATCAGGTGCGCAGTCACGGACTTCAATTTTGACGGCCTATTACTGTGGATGTCTCGTGTCCCGCCACACGAAGAGCGCAATCTGAAGAAGAATCATCATCTGGTCATCCGATTTAACACGTCGAATCAGCCGCAGCGGAGTATGGAAAGCTTGCGGAAATGGTTGCATATGCGCGCCGACGTGCATCGCCCTCAGCCCAAATGGCACTACACCGGAGCAATCCCCAGTAATAAAGTGTGCGCCGACTTGAGAAGGCGCTGCAAGCGAATGAAGGAATATGGAAAGCAGTGGGAAATGCTGCAAATCCTGAAAGCCTTGCAAATTACCCCCCTTCCCACGCCACTCCCTGGACCGGGCACCCCTCCCCCGGAAGAGAACCCCGACCACCCAAACCATCAGCAATGGTTGCAACAACAGGAACGTGAGCAAGGCAGCGTCGGATCTGATTGACACGAACCTATCGAGACACATGCTCTTTTTTGGCAAGCGGTTCCAACTTACGACCACTCCTTCCCTCGGTCATGCCGGAGCAGAGTCCGAACGCGGGTCAAGTCCGCTTCTGGTCTGGGAGAGGGATCATATTTGCCCAGCAGCTTGGACTATCCTTCCTGCACCAGTTTTAGGTCGCCGATCAGGACTTTTGCTCCGCCTTCGTGACAGAGACGAGCAAGGGCGAAGCCCATTCCAGATCCGCCTCCAGTGATGACTACAATCTTATGCTTGACTGGAAAGGTCTGGACTGGGCCATATTTCTGCATTGCGGACGGAGTTGGAGGTGGGAGGCAGAATTTGGAAATCAACGGTTCACTAATGTAATGATCTTTCCGTCTTCTCTAGAGACTTGACAGTGCTAAAGAAAGTTTGTAGAAGATGCTACGCTTCGGTACTTACCTCTTACAACTAGACCCCGCAGTAGTTCGGTTTCCGAACTACTAAACGTATATAGTTTGGTTTCTTAGCGGCGAACTAGCTCCCTAGTTCTAGTTTGGTTTTTTCGAACTGTATAGATTCCTAGTTTAAACTAGAGACTATATTAGTTTTACTATAAGGATACTCTTATTCGACTACCGGCTACGATTACCGGCTATAATAGTAACTATATTATATTTACTATGCTCTATTACTATTACTAGGGCGTAGTTACTATTACTATAGCGTAGTTTTACTATAAGGATACTCTTATTCGACTACTACTAGTAGCTACGATTGCCGGCTATAATAGTAACTAGGTTATATTTACTACTAGTACGCTCTATTGCTATTACTAGGGCGTAGTTGCTATTACTAGGGCGTAGTTACTATTACTAGGGCGTAGTTACTATAGTTACGAAAGCTTACTTATATAATATTACGTAGGCGGTAACAATTAGGGCTTTGCGATATTCTTATATCTTTTAACTTCTTCCTCTATACCTATGCCTATAATAACTACTATACGCTACGCCCCTGCCCCTTTTCCTTATAATAGTAAGAGAGAAGCGCGCTACGCGCTAAATAGAAGATAGAACTAAAGACCGCGAGTTTGTTTTACCTAAGCATCTAACTAAAAAGCGTAAGACTAAAGAGGAGTACTCTACGAAGAAGAATTTAATATAAGACTACGAGAGAAAGAAGAAGATAAATAAGGATAAAAGAGCTAAGGTCCGAAGGCGATAGTACTTACTAATTTAGGCGGCAACTAGACAATAAGAGACATACTAGCTTATAGCGGTATAGGGATACTATTTAGATCCTATAGGAGTAAAAGAGGAGCAATCTGCCTAGTAAACTGTGCAGACACGCACTCCGGTTATGCTTTCCTTGGCATTCTCACGTGTCTGCAAAACCCAGCATACATTCCAGTCCGTTGCCAGACCATGATACCCACTCATGCAAGTAGACTGCACATTCAGAGCCGTGCAGACGACACCTTTGACCTTCTCTATCATTGTCGCAGGTATTTTGTACCTAGCTGCTGTACTACGAAAGAATAGGCGACTTGGCTTCAATAATATAACAACTTAACAAAAGTTGGGGCCCCTTTAGGCTTAGTACGGCTCAAAACGACCGAAAAGCCGACTCTAATTAGTCGGCGGCGAGGAACTTTAAAATTTCTCGATTCTCGCGCGGTCCGGAAGGCGTAGGAGTCGTAGGATCGACTATAACGCTCCGGCGCCGCGATAGCAGTGTTTCCGAGGCCGTCTCCGTCGTTTACGCCTAATCCGGCGGCGTTTTTTGCTCGAGGCGGTATCGTTCGCGCCTAATCCGGCGGTATTTACTCGGAGCGGTAGGCTCGAAAGGCTTATCCTACGCGTTCCGGATAGTACTACTCGCTATAGGCGTTTTATAGGGTACTTATAGTAGGCGTTAGATAAGGTACTCGCTATAAATAGTTCGAATCCTATTTAACTATAGGCGTTTTAGATAGTATTTGCTATAAGCGTTTCGGATAGGACTACTCGCTATAGCTATCTCGGACAGTTACCGCTATAAGCGTTTCGAATATTACTACTCGCTATAAGCGTTTTTAGTAGTATTTACTATAAGCGTTTCGGATTAGACTTGCTATAAGTATTCTAAATAGCACTTACTATAGGTATTTTAGATAGTACTACTTGCTATAAGCGTTCTTAATAGTACTTGCTATTTGCGTTCTGAATTAGACTTACTATACGCGTTCCGGATAAGACTTAGTATAAGCGTTTCGGATTAGAATTGCTATATAGTGCGTTCTAAATGAAACTTAGTATAGGCGTTATAGACAGTAGTACTAACTGTTAGCGCTCCGGATTAGAGTTATTAGACTTACTATACGCGTTCTAAATAGTACTTAGTATTATAAGCGTTCTGAATTAGACCTATTATAGGCGTTATAAATGATAGTTAGCTTATCCTACGCGTTCCGGATAGTACTACTCGCTATAGATATTCTATAGAGTACTCGCTATAGGCGTTATATAGGGTACTCGCTATAGATAGTTCGAATGCTATTTAACTATAGGCGTTTTAGATAGTATTTGCTATAAGCGTTCCGGATAGTACTACTCGCTATAGGCCTTCCGGATAGTGCTTCGTATAAGTATTTAGTTTCGGATTAGACTTAGACTTACTTTATACATTCCGGACAAGACTTTCTGTAGGCGTTTCGGATTAGATTATTAGACTTGCTATACGCGTTCCGGTTTATATAGGACGAACTATACTAAGCGTTTAAAATAAGGCTTGTCCTACGCGTTCCGGATAGTACTACTCGCTATAGATATCTTAGATAGTTACCGCTATAGGCGTTTCGAATATTACTACTCGCTATAGGCGTTTTTAGTAGTATTCACTATAAGCGTTTTGGATATAACTTGCTATAAGTATTCTAAATAGTACTTACTATAGGTATTTTAGAAAGTACTACTTACTATAAGCGTTCGTAATAGTACTTACTATTACCGTTCTAAATTAGACCTACTATACGCGTTCCGGATAGTACTTACTCTACGCGTTTCGGATAAGACTTAGTATAGGCGTTTCGGATTAGAATTGCTATATAGCGCGTTCTAAATAGAACTTGGTATAAGCGTTATAGATAGTAGTACTAACTATTAGCGCTCCGGATTAGACTTGCTATACGCGTTCCGAATAGTACTTACTAAGTTACTATTATAAACGTTCTAAATTAGACTTTCTATAGGCGTTATAGATAGTAGTTAGCTTGTCCTACGCGTTCCGGATAGCACTACTCGCTATAGGTATTCTATAGAGTACTCGCTATAGGCGTTTTATAGGGTACTTACGGCCCCTTTAGGCTTACTACGGCTTAAAATAAGCTAAAAGCCGACTCTACTTAGCTATAGCCGAGGAACTTTAAAATTTCTTAGTTTACGAGCGGTTCGGAGATTATAGGAGTCGTAGTATATAGTTCGTAAGCGGTTCGGAGATTGTAGGAGTCGTAGTATATATCGTAAGGCTACGATAGTATTATTTCCGATGCTATATCGGTCGTTTATACCTAATCCGGCGGTATTTGCTCGAGGCGGTATGCTCGAAAGGCTTAGCCTACGCGTTTCGGATAGTACTACTCGCTATAGATATTCTATAGAGTACTCGCTATAGGCGTTTTATAAGGTACTCGCAGTAGGCGTTATATAAGGTACTCGCTATAAGTAGTTCGAATACTATTTAGTAACTATAGGCGTTTTAGATAGTATCTACTATAAGCGTTCCGGAAAGTACTACTCGCTAAAGATATCTCGGATAATTATCGCTATAAGCGTTTCGAATATTACTACTCGCTATAAGCGTTTTTAGCAGTATTTGCTATAGGCGTTTCGGGCGTTTTGGATTAGACTTACTATAGGTATTCTAAATAGCACTTGCTATAGGTATTTTAGATAGTACTACTTGCTTTAAGCGTTCTTAGTAGTACTTACTATTAGCGTTCCGAATTAGACTTGCTATATACGTTCCGGATAGTACTTACTCTACGCGTTCCGGATAAGACTTAGTATAAGCGTTTCGGATTAGAATTGCTATATAGCGCGTTCTAAGAAGAACTTAGTATAGGCGTTTTAGATAGTAGTGCTAACTGTTAGCGCTCTGGATTAGACTTACTATACGCGTTCCGAATAGTACTTACTATTATAAGTGCTCTAAGTTAGCCTTACTATAGGCGTTGTTAGTAACAGTTAGCTTATTCTACGCGTTCCGGATAGTACTGCTCGCTATAGATGTTCTATAGAGTACTCGCTATAGGCGTTCTATAGGGTACTTAGAGTAGGCGTTATATAGGGTACTCGCTATAGATAGTTCGAATGCTGTTTAACTATAGGCGTTTTAGATAGTACTTACTATAAGCGTTCCGGATAGTGCTGCTCGCTATAGTCTTAGCCTATAGGCCTTCCGGATAGTGCTTAATATAAGTATTTAGTTTCGGATTAGACTTAGACTTAATTTATACATTCCGGATAAGACTTTCTATAAGCGTTTTAGATTAGACTTAGTATACGCGTTCCGGTTTATATAGGACTAACTATACTAAGCGTTTAAAATAAGGCTTGTCCTACCGACTCCTACGCGTTCCGTATAGTACTACTCGCTATAGGTGTTCTATAGAGTGCTCGCTATAGGCGTTTTATAAGGTACTCGTAGTAGGCGTTATATAGGGTGTCCGCTAAAAGTAGTTCTAATGCTATTTACTATAGCCTATAGGCGTTTTAGATAGTATTTGCTATAGGCGTTCCGGATAGTGCTACTCGCTATAGATATCTCGGATAGTTACCGCTATAAGCGTTTCGAATAATACTACTCGCTATAAGCGTTTTTAGTAGCATTTACTATAGGCGTTTCAGATATAACTTGCTATAAGTATTCTAAATAGTACTTACTATAGGTATTTTAGAAAGTACTACTTGCTATAGGCGTTCTTAGTAGTACTTACTATTAGCGTTCTATATTAGACTTACTATACACGTTTCGGATAGTACTTACTATACGCGTTTCGGATAAGACTTAGTATAGGCGATCCGTATTAGAGTTACTATATAGCGCGTTCTAAATAAAACTTAGTATAGGCGTTATAGATAGTAGTACTAACTGTTAGCGCTCCGGATTAGACTTACTATACGCGTTCCGAATAGTACTTAGTATTATAAGCGTTCCAAATTAGAATTCCTATAGTTGTTTTCGATTAAAGTTGCTATAAGCGTTTTGAATTAGACTTACTATACGCCTTGTAGGCAGTACTTGCTATAAGTGTTCCGACTCGGAAAGAACTACTTACTATAGATATTTCGAATAGTACTCGCTATAGGTATTCCGGATAGCAATTACTATTGGCGCATTCCGGCTCGCTATAGGCGTTTTTTAGGGCACTCGT